GTTAACATAAGAATATGCATATATCGAGGCAGATGTAATTGAATAAGTGTGTCAAATATTGTATCTTAGCTATTACAATCCAGAAGTGTGTCTAGTCACACATTTTTGGATTGACAATGCTTGTGACTTGAGCGCATGGTCAGAATGTGAATTATTGGCGATATATTCTGTAGAAACTGAACAATATATGCGGAAGGAGTAGTACATCCAGGGAAGTCATATCGACAGTAACACAATATACTGAAATGTAACGCAATGTTGTGTTTCACGATACTGACTCCCAATTTGCTAAAGTATTACCTATGTGTGACTACTCCATCAGTGGAATTAAAACGAAGATATTCCGCTTAGCGGGTTCGAACTGCACTCTCACTAGCATAGGATGCTGCGTCGAATGCAACTCTCACACGCGTCTTCCATTTCCATCTAAGATATAGTCGAGATCAAACACAGACGTGTAAAATTTTAATGTGTACGTTTGCACAGATACAATCAGCTCTGTTCGCTACAAGAACTTCTCATATAATTATATCAAGACATGGTTGTTCAATCCGTACAATGTTGACCTTCAAACCTCACATCTGTTATAGAATTGTACACTCGCATTGATGCTTCTATCTATAGTGCATCATCAGCTTTCACATCCCCAACTACCACTCCTTTAAAATACTTAGCACGCGCCCTACCACAATTATGTGCGGTGCTTAACTGAACAAGAGACTTTTGTACGGGTCCTAATAGGATCCGATGCAAGGGCTGAGACTTAAAAAGCGAGGTTCCTTCACATGATAACAATACTTGCAAGTTTCACTAGTAAATTGTGTTCACACTTAAACTCCTAGGGCCCCCGGAATCTTCTATTGACGGGACTCTTTGGGTCGGCGGCATCGATGTTTGCATTCGGCAGCTTAAACTCCACTGCGACCTTGTTATTTTTCATGATGCTCAATGGATCATTCCAGGTAGGCTCGTTCTAAGCTGTTTAGTAGTCACTAACTCATACACAGGTCCTCTATAATCTAATAAATTAATGTGTAGTTTCTACTCGTATACGCTATTGTAAACTGGTTCTCTTTGTCTTTGCCCTGCGATGTTGTTAGATTTGCTCCCGTATCGAGTCGCATGCAATCGCGCTTACGCTAATCTACAAAGAATTAAGACAAAGATAGCTCACTATAAAACGACAGCTCACTATACCAACAAAAGTTGATCTCATCAAAATTTTAGTCGCAAAAGTTTAGGAATGCTTTTTTCAAATATAGCAGCATGTGCGCATGAGGGTTTTGCGAACTCAACTTTCTTTTGGCAGATCAGCCCGCACCACACATCTTTAAACTTGACTTTTCGACTGCTTCGTAGGTTGATAGAGATTTATTAGACATTTTAACGGCTTGTATCTCGCCTTAAAGTTTGTTCGTGAAGTAACTTTGCAATCGACGATGCACACCTCTCCTTCTGCAGAATTAGATATGATTGAAAATTACATTAACTACAATATTATCCAATAGGTTTAGACTACCAGTAACTCAATTGTATTTTTCTCATCGCTTTCTAGGCACTCTTGTGGCCCAACTGTGTTAAATCCGTAGCTCCATGGATGAGTCAGTCTGTGCGAGCGAAGTACTACGGTGTCTGGGGTGCCAGTCCATATGTAAGTTCAATTAACTCTTCAAGATAAATCAATGAACTGTGTAGTATAAACTGGGACCGTGATGTAGCACGGAACGAGAGTGGGGCGCAAATAGTCTGTATCTAGCACGCTCGATTGGATTGAACCACCTGCACGCAACAATGCTTGACCATTCTGTATGCATGTCTACCTGGGTGCCTGCGCTGGTGTCACGTCACGATTGCACCCACTGTGTTCACCTCTGTGTACAGTGATGAAAGCGTACATGCATGGTACTTTACGCAATCTTGTGCCTACCCTGTGCGTCGTGGGCTTCATAGCCCTTCGACAGATTAACGTGCGATTTGGCTGGCCACCTTGTCCGTGTACTCCTCTGAAAGACGAGACAGGTATCGCAGATACTCATCGCCCTTCCCTGCATATTCTTTCCATACCCTCATTTTCGACAACGCTTGTTTGGGCTAGTTTGAATTAATGCACAAAACGTTTACGGCCGTGCCTGCTCTTCTCATATCTCATATTATTTTGCTTTTACCAGTGTTGGTCGGTGTATGAATCATGTACGCGCGTGTCGAACTGACGTTTCACTCTTGTTCCTGGCCGACATACATTCTGTGAATAAATTCGATATTCGATATTGCACATTCAATACAGGTGGGCGGTGTACTAGCGACGGCATTCGCAGTGTACCTACTCGAGATTGGTGGCTGGAGAAATTGCTTTCAACTTCCGGCTATAGTTGTATGCAGTCAGATGCTGACGTGTACCTGTCATTCATGCATGTTTGCAACGGTCAAATAACTAGACGAGACTGAGAGTGCAGCTCCTGTTGTACGTCGTGCGATGGATACGTTTCCATATCTCAAACGCCCACTAAATAACAGCATGCTGTTCTTCTCTATGTTCGCTTGATATCATGCCTATATTTATCCTATATATGTATACTACCATCACATTTGTTGTACTTATAATATTGCCAGTATACGGGGAGGTATCAAAAGACGAACCTATATGCAGGATATCGCAGTCTCAATGCGTATGTTTAGATGTGAGCGAGAGCTTCTTCAAAACGAGTATATTTACTACAATTTTCGTCGTCTACACAAAAGTGGATAAAGAAAGTGGTGTAGTGGTGTATATTATTAAAAATGTAGTCTATATACATATCTATCACTAAATAGATAATATAACACATATCTCGTAGTCGAAGAAACACAGTAGGGAAGGGGTGTACTCGCTAATATACACCGTTTTGGGTATTAGCTATAGTCAGAGATAGCAGACATACACGTATGTGAACTAAGTCGAGTACATACACGCACATGCAGGTCATGTTTCTCACAAATATCTACTATTGGGCAATGCTCAACTAAAAAAAAATATTTTTTATACACAACTATATTACGCCAGGTGGCCTTCGTGGGTTTGCTCAATGTCATGTATCTCAGATCTCCAAGTGAGGTGGGTGTGGCGGCACCGAACCCATCTGCAGCCACGAGCAAGAAGATTGGTATGTTATTGGAGACGGGCACAGATAAAAGAAGTATGTGTAAGATTTGAGTTCGTTTTTATTATGGACTGTGCTATCGGATTCTAAAGTGTCAGAACAGTGATGTAATATGCTAAAGAATATATCACACGAATCCGTGGAGCTACTGAAGATTGGCTCGGCCGTCATGCTATATCCATCCCAGGGATACATTTTACACGCCCTCACTGTCGCACTTGCACTGCACACAACTTCAGTAAAGCACAACGCACACAATTCGCTTCTGGAATCATTGACACTTGGGCATACTGAGATTCGATCACCGATTAAACACCATGGCTATTCGTGTCGGCCTCCAGCTGGAATTGAGATTCACTACCCTGCTGTATGCATAACCATGCGAGTACTATTGCATATTCTTCCTTCTTCAGATATGTAAAACACTACTATTGCACATGAATAGGTTCACAAACAACGAATAGCATCTCAACAGTAGAGGCCATGACAATTCCTGGGGTACCGGCCTCTAGTCTCAGTTTCTTTTTCATCAAGCTCACGCGATACGCCCTTATGATGTGGCTGCCACTGTATCTCACAAAGGTGTGTGCCTTATCTGCGTATCGGACGTTATTTCGGTTAATAGGGAAGTGGCTTCTACATCTCAAAGTGCGATGTGTGTCTCATCAATTCATGGCGAGGATCAGATACGATATGTAAGCATTGGTGGTATCAACGGACATTGTCTATGGTTATGCTCCACCCTCCCCCTTTGAGCTTTTTCATATCTATGGGTATGCCACTCGACCGTAGTAAACACCACCCCATAACTCGTACCTGCATTGCAGTGTAGTCAGTGTATGGTGTTTTAAGGTTTCTCGTATGACCAATCTGCATTCGACGGCTCATGCAACGCTAAATTAGCTATTTTCTTTTTAAAGCAGAAGGTCGTGGCGCAGCAGGTTTCTTCGGCATCTGCACCTTGCCATTAAGCTTTAGTGCAAACCTTATAGTGTTGTTCGGACAAATAGAACCAGTACACCACCTCAAGGCTCTCATAGCTGTTTCAACCGTAGTTCTCTGTTATTTACATGATATAGCCTGTGCGAATGCACTTGAGTGGCAATACACTCTACGCCTTGTGCCTTGCTCTGATGACACAACACTCTAGCAGTCACATGGGAACCATTTTGCTAGTATTGGGTATGTATATTGGACTCCAAATGTGGTGGCCCTCCAGAGATATACCCGAGAAGTGTTAAACTATACCACATGTTATTTCCCTGGAATCACGCAGTATTCCTTGGCTCATGATCGCAGCCTACTAATCTCAAGCCGTGCTTGATATCTGGGAATTGACTCACTAATTGACTATTTATTCTTTACCTTTTTCGCAGGTAGTGCACCTCCCTGAGGACACTGCCGGGTTTCTGTCACTGTGTTTCGAAGTTGGCGGCGCTATCTCCGCTCCGTTCGCTATGCCTGTGTGTTCATACTTTGTGAACGGTCGCTTAATCCGGGGAGTGGCAATCTACCAGGTCACTATGGGGGTAGGTGTACTGTAGTCATGGAAGGCGAGTCATACCATCAAGTGCGTATACACACTTTCAATAGGCGAGGGACTCTTGCTTGCCTCTTTAGGAGTGAAATCACGAGTCCTTGCGCGACATTCTGTGCATAGGAATCAGCGCATACATGGTGCATGCATGCACCTATAACATCAGCTATGTTGCAGAGATTCATTGATTTGAAAATGCTGAATAACAGTCACATTTCGCCCCGGCCACGTGCGTGACGAGCAATACATGCGGCATGACAGCGACAGCTTCTCTTCCATCACAATAGTATAAGTCCTTTTGCTTCGTGTTGAAAACCACATGCTCACACAGCATCTCTTATCGATAAATCTGCAGCGCAGGCCGTAGCCTATACTTAAATATACAGCTTTTCTTTGTAGCGTAGCCATGCGTTGCAACCGTCAGTTGCAGAAGCATCTGGTTCGAATCATTCAACGCGTTTTGATTTCTATACTATGCTCATGCAGGTGATTCTGGTAGTATTCATTCTGACATCCTCCTACGGGAGTCTGATGGTCATGGCGCTGTGTATAGGTATCGCAGGAGTGTGTTCTAATTCGTGCGACATGTTGCTGAGTGGGCCCATAGCAACAGACTTTGGCGAGATCGATGGCATGAATGTTCAGGCAACTGTGGCCGGCCTCATTAATGGTGTGTGTACATGAATTCGGAAAGTAACGATACAAATGCGTGTACACATGCGCAGCTGATTTTCCTATATTCAAACATGAGTGTTGCACTATCTACGACAGTGAACGTGAGTTAAGATAGGTGCAATTAGATACAAAGTAAGTGTTTGTTAGTAATTTTTCGTGGAATTTATGCTTGTGCGTATAAGTATGCATGGGCTGCATATGGAGTTCGTCCAAAACTATTGGCTTTGAACGCACCTATGAAGATCTTTCTATCTACATCGATCTATTGCATGCCGAAGAATAGATATATATAAGGGCATAGAATGATATTCCCTAAAACCGACAGCGACCAAGATCTTTATTTGGACGAAAAAGACAATCTATAGTTTTATTTTACAGAGGGTGATCCAGAGGTAATGTGCACGCTTGCCTATTGTAGTTCCAACTTGTCTACTTACCGTATACTGCAACAATCGACTCCACGCTTATCCGTTGCGCGATCGCCCACAGGCAATCTCGTGCGGCTACAGGATCTCGTTAGTTTTACGCCGCACTTCGGCCACGCTATGGATTTGTTTCTTGTTAAAATGGTGTCTTACATCTGCACTTGTACTTTGCATGCCCTTAATATTCCAGGAGTGGGCTGTCTGGGCAGTGTGCTGCAGGGCTTGGTCATTGGTGGTGTCTCCGACACTTACGGATGGGAGTATGTTTTCTACTTTATTATTCTGCTCTCATTTGCCGCTGCCGCGGTGCTCGTGCCAGCATTCCCTGTCGACGATCGGATACAGATGAAAAAAACCATACAACTTCCATGATGCAATTAGTAGGCTGCTTCTATTGAAAAGAGATATATATATATATACATATATAAACTCTGTTCATAGTGAGTCTCCACGCAGTAGCTAGTACATTGTTACCACAGGGATGGTATCGGGAACGGGCTACGTGGGTGGGGACGTAGTTCTTCGGCTCGTTGCTTGCCTTTTAGATTTGATAAGCATCGCGTTCAATAACGACCAACATCCAACGTCTGTCATGTGTTCAGAAGGACAGTTGAGCTGAAATTCGTATAATGATAATGCAGAGGCTGAAACATACCCTTCTGCCTGTTGTAGGAGGCTATGGTAACTACATTGCATATGCAATACCTGCTCAGCGAATGGTTGGCTAATCTGAGGTGGCATTTTATAGTGTTTTTGACGCCGAAGTTGCTATAGACTTGAATACACGTTTTCGATGGATGGGCTTGATCTTAGCTATCTTTTGAGCGTGGCTTTTTGCGCATAAAACGTACACTTCTGAACTTATTATAAGTCATGATAGGTACATATATTTTTGTAATGGCATATCTACGCATATTGTGGTATCGTCAACCATATTATGATAATCTACCGCTCATATACACAAATGCTTGATATGTACACATAAGTATGATTATCTCGGTAAAATTTGCAGCGGTTCTCGAAACGCATTCCGTACGACTGCACTGCAACTATGTAACCTCGCATATCAAGCCGATTCAGTTATAATTGCAAGGATTTAAAAACAAATATACTTGCAAGGATTAAAAATGAGACTTTACCTCCAAGCAAAGTATCCTTGAATATAGCCAATTTCGGATAAATTTGCGTGTAAACCCTGCTGAACGAGATTCACACCAAATCAACCGTAGACTCTTACAACCGCTGGTTCTTGCGTGCAACTACTCAAAGTCTGCCTCGCTGAGAACAAGCCGGCTAACAAATGCTAGTCGCTAGGTCCATAAAAAAATGTGTGTGAAGACTAGGATATGAGTCAGATGAAGAGAGTGGATTATTATACATATATGACTAATTTTGTTGATTATACAATACTTGTTCAGACCACGCTTATCCTTATACCTCGCAAGTCGTTCATGCCGCTTCAACAGCCGCCGACCCCAAGCACCAGGTGTATGAACTACTGCAGCCAGTGCATAACATGGCTGCCCCTTTTAGCCGAAAAAAAACCCCCCCACCAAAATCGTTTAAAAACATTTGTTATGCTTGACAGAACAGTGTCGGCATCGATGCTTCAGAACGGGCGTTGGGTCCCAGCTCACTCCTCTAGAAACGCACACCGATTCCAACAATTGCCAAATATATATCATACTTGGTAGAAACTGCAACATGGGAAGGGTTGGGTCGTCAAACCCGATCCGAGAAACAACAATGGCAAATTGTACTTAGAAGGGTATGGTATCTTTGATATGTGTCAAATGCCCACACTTTATTGCTAAAAGTGGTCGATCGATCTTTATAGATAATGTTTATTGCAGCGGAGATACTATTGTGGGCAATACGCCGTACAATGTGCGACTTGCGAGTGTACTAAACGAAGTAAAACGAGAATCTTTCTTATTCAATGAGCAGCGAATAATCACTCGGATACTGTGATATGTTTACGGGTAGCTACCCTTCTGGCTTCCCTGATGCACTGTTTAAAATTGGCAATTGGATGATTGTTTTTGTGAATCGAATAATTTAGAACTGAATTATGTAGTGCACAGCGTGACATTCCTTCATGGAGTCACGGAGCTACATATTACTCATCGGAATATTTAGGAGCTAGGGCCATATATTGATTATTGATTGTATTCAGGCCGCGATTAACGATTTCGAGGACGGTTGTTATTGTATGTGCCAACAGTCAACAACTTTATACGCTGGCGGTATAGCGCCATGTCTCACAGCATTCGGTGATATGGGTAGTCAATTCACACCCATGACATTCGAAGCGCTGTATCACTACAAATTGGTAGACCAAGCATCTTCTTACTACTTAGTACGCTCGGCAGGTCACTGTGTTTCTTGCCACTCCCCGCTATCAACGACACCTTAGTCACCACCGGATTGAGCGGTGGTCAGCAAATGTGATACAGTAAATAGACACGTTTCCTAATAAACCCGCTGAGATGGTAATTATTCCACTCTACACGGCGGAAGATAAGTTGAGTCTCTACAAGCAGTGAATAGAATATGTATTCATCCTCTACTTTACTCTCTACCTTGCCCAGTACTACTACTCAAAGTATTCACCCTCTACTTCTGACTGAAATCCGAAACTAGTGCACAGTGCACACTCATTGGATTGATCTACTGACTAGAATATATTGGCTTACTTCGCTTTATTAAGGCATAATGCAGTGATGGCACACAAGAAGCAGGGGCATGTCACATTAGAATATGCACTATACGATATCGTGCTCGGAACATAAAAGCTTGTGGGCGTTTAATCACTGATCAGGCGCCAGTTGCGTTCTTATGTACTTTACAGTTCTAATTCAGCTCGTACAAACTGATTACGCTTATGGAAACTTTGCCGGTTCTGGTATACGATTCTTACTATCATGTTATTTTCTCTACTTCTCAACATCCCAACACTTGTGGTAATCACGTAGGTCTAATTACATACTATACATATACGTACATGTAGACAAGTATGTTTACAGATTTAATATGTATTATCATCTTATTTGCGGCGGCGGAACAAGGACCGAAACTCATACCCCTTTATTTATCACAAGGGCGTGATATCCAACACCATCGTTGCAAATATAAGCGGAAAACAAATATATAACTGTATGCATATCCTTAAAATCACCATTTATCTAGTTGTAGAACTTTTACCATTCTTGTCGGCATAGTCAACTGTGATAGACGCGGCCACCTAAAGATTGGCAGCATGATAATGTTGAATTGTAAAATTATAGAAGCATTTTTACTATTCTGTCGTACTCCTTTATTTTCCAGGTACTTCCGACATAATTCGAATATTGCATGTATGGCACTATTTTAATCATTCATCAACTCATCCTCTTCAACCATCATTTATCTAATTGTAGAACTTCTTGCCATTCTTGGCGTAGTCTACTAGGATCTGCGCGGGCTTGAACTGCTCGCCGTACTTGTCGCTGAAGCCGTTCATCATATCCACGAACTTATCGGCGCCCATGGCATCCACGAACCTGAAAGGTCCACCCAAGAATGGAGGGAAACCAATGCCGAATACGGCTCCAATATCTCCATCAGTGGGCGACAGGATGATGTTATCCTGAAGACAGAAGGCGGCTTCGTTGATGAAACGTGACACACAACGCATCTGCAGCTCTTCGTCCGAGATGCCTGACGAGTCGATACGGCCAGCGCTGTACTTCTTGATAAGCCCCTCGATCTCTGGGTTTAGACCTTGGTTCTTACCCTTCTTATCGTAAAGGAAGAAACCCTTGCCGGTCTTCTTTCCGTGGAACTTGGCGTCAATCATTTCTCCCAATAACGCGGGGTCACCTCCGATCATACGGTTGCCTAAGTGCTGTGTGAGATACAACTGTACCTTACCGGCGACATCGATTCCTACGTTATCCGCAAGACTGATGGGACCCATGGGCCAACCGAACTTCTTCATAACACTGTCGATGCGCTCGGCAGGCACGTTCTCCATAGCCAGAGCCATAGTCTCGGCCATGTAAGGGGCGAGCGAGCGGTTGACGTAAAAACCAGGGACATCCTTCACAACAATGCAGGTCTTACCCTGAGGAATGAGCAAACAGGTAGGTGGTATATTATTTAGTCGGCGACATTGTATACTCACGAAATCAAAGAGAACACCTACGCTTGTATAAAAGCACTCATCTGGAAATTTATACGCGGATGCTACCACCACCGTTTCAGTAGTGTGTAGAGATACCATCAGATAACAAAAAAGCAAGTATTTCTCAGCACTATATATACCGACAAAGTGCAGGGCGTGTGCTTACATACTTGCTTATTACCAGCATCGAAAGCAATAGCGGCAACCTCAGGAAGAGTCTTCTCGTGCGTGATGATTTCGAGCAGAGGCATCTTGTCTACAGGTGAGAAGTAGTGCATTCCTACGACTCTCTCGGGGCGCTTGGAAGCCTTGGCGATTTCTAGTAATGAGGATACAAATTCATTTTAGTTTTTGCTACGGAGAATAAAACCATCACTACATCTTGGTAATATACATAAAACAAAAACATCACAGTATGTATGTGTACAAGGGCCTGATTGTAGACGCCTTCACCAATCGCACTCAGGCAGTGTGTTCGATAAAACATTGGTTGTCCGTCCATAAAAGTTTAAGCCTGTACTTTCTACCACAGAGCAGAATGTCCAACATTGTACAGTATCAAAAAAATACAAATGAACCATGAGGTTAGACATACCACCGATGGGGATGGCGGATGTGTTGGTGGCGAATACGCAATGCTCGGGAATGTGCTGCTCGACCTCCTTGAGTACTGAGTGCTTGACAGCCAGATCCTCGAATACAGCCTCGATAACTAGGTCAGCTTTGTTGAAGTGCTTCCAATCCAAGGTAGTGTGCACGGCAGTCATCTTCTGGTCGCGTTCGAACGGGGTCATAGTCTTGCGCTTGGTTTTACCATTAAGACCCTGTACGAGTTTATAGATTGCGAGACTCATCAGTAAATACGAAGAGATTGCATTGAAATTGACCTGAAAAACAAACCAGCACTAATATCTCGTGCGCCGTGTCATGAGATACCCATCAAGAAACTCATCGTTGAGCATATGTGCACATGGTTCTGCCAAGCATACCACGTACATAACGCACACACACACTCTTTCCCAGGCGTAGAAGTGACTATTAGCCATTCTTCATATCGTTGACACACAACTCCCAATACTCAACTAATTGGTTACTAAATTTACGCAGTCTCAGATACCCCTCCGAACCTACCTTGAAAATCTGCTCCTGTCCACGGGCCAAACCCTCGGGACTGGTATCCTTGAGCGTGACGTCGAATCTGTTCATGGAAACCTCACCAATACCAGCGCCCATAAGGCCGGCACCAATAACAGCAATGTTCTTGGCGGGCTTGTCAACTTTACCGAACTGTTTGGGAATCCTCTTGCATGCGCGCTGTCCAAAGAAGATGGACATAAGTCCATCCGCCTCTGTATATTTAAGGACAACGAAAGAAGGATGGTGAATGATACAGAGTTGGGGCGAGGTGATGATAAACATTTGTATGCAATCAACAAGCGTTCTCCGATACTTTGGACTTACATCAAGAATCGCGCTTGAGATATATACATATACACGCATGTGTCACCTCAAGTGCGCATGTATAAGCTCCGCCTAGATATACCTGGTGTCTGTGTTAGCTCTCCGAATCCAATGGCCTCCTGTCTGAGTCCGGCTTCGAATCCTTTATCCAGACCAGCTTCGACAGCTTCGATTATCTTGAAGGGGGCGGGGTACTTACCACCAGTAGATTTCATGACCTACCCAAGGACAGAGACCAAACTCAGCGTTAGTGATATAGATCAAGTATGAGAAATCGGATTCAGCCCACATTACGAGTATGCTTGACAATGACACATAAGCATCGCCCTCGTATAATTAGAACTGTAAGCTAGCTTGCTGATGCGGGCGTCTTCAGTTAGCAATGAAAACTTGAGGGGTATGATGCACACTCACCTGCTCGCGCGCCTTCTTGAAGATGATATCACGTGTATATTTGAAGTCGTTGGTGAGGTATCTCTTGAGGCCCTTGGCAGAAGCTATCGTCAAATCACGGTTGATCTTCTTCTTGCCGTCAACAATGTCTTTAGCACTCTGTAAATGGGGCATGGGGTATGATAGCACACTGTTATTGAGTAGGTTTAAATGGGGTGGCAGTGACGTGATACTAATAGGGGCTAGGGCTACAAGTACAGAAGTTGGTATCGGATGCATAGCTATTGGTAGTGCACATTCGCCTGAGCCAGTATATACCATAATCTCATACAACATTCTTAACATCACCCCAGGTTGCTGGAAACAAGAGACCAAGCATAAGCCTACCTGGATGGCACACTTCTCTAGGTAGTCAACGGTATTCTGGCCGGCGCTGTTCAAACCTAGACCGATGGGCACAACGAGTTCATCTACAAGTCCTGCTTTCTTAGCCTTCTTGGCCTGGAGCGACTTTCCAGTCAACATCAGTGGCAGGGCCTGGTCCAAACCAATCAGACGGGGCAGGCGTTGTGTACCTCCACCTCCGGGTAGTAGACCAATCATCACCTGTAGGTGGTAATAAACATAATGTGTGAGGAAACAATCCAGATACCCGGAGAACATAAGTGGGAGTCTTCAAAAGGTTCACCTGTAGGTGGTAATAAACATAATATGTGAGGAAACAATCCAGATAACTGGAGAGCATAAGTGGGAGTCTTCAAAAGGTTCACGTGTACGCAAGCCTTCAGCGTTGCCGATAAAATAGGTTCAGAAATGCGATATCTCCGCCATGGACAGAAGTAGAAATCAGTTACAGCAAAGAACAGCTCAAAAAATCGACAACGGTATACAAACCGAGTGGGTAACTCGCGTTGGGTCGTACAGTTCCGCATGCATCAACTCACAATGCTACAGACTTACATACCTCTACAAGACCTAGCTTGGTCTTGGGCATATCCGTGGCGATACGGTAGTGGCACGACATAGCCAACTCTAGACCACCGCCTAGGGCTTCTCCGTTGATGGCAGCAATGAGCGGAAGGGGTCCATCGGCCATACGGTTAAACATAACGTGTCCGTTCGCTGCCAATTGCGTGGCCTGTGTAAGGGTTGATAGGATCGTACGGTGAGAAAAACGCAGTGTTGGATGTGGAGCAGTTGAGTATAAACTATACCACGGCCCTGTCGCTTGCCCCGGGTAAAGACACAATATAAGAAGCTCAATTGAAGTGCCATGCTGGCTGTAACATTATTTTTAAACAATGAATGACGCTATCAAACTGGCATAGTTCATAAGCACGACATAACGTAGACTGGGAGGAACCAATTCACATGATTTAACCATTTTCAGAAGCAGCCGAATACCGAAATCCAGAGTATAACTAGCGGTCCACCAATGTCTCTAGTGCCATGCCAGGCGATCACGAGGAATGCTGATGCACATACTTCTCTCCCAACATTCCCCGACACCGTTCACGACATACACAGGCAATTTGTGCTATTCCATATTGAGCTTTCAAGCATCAAAATAGGCATATCACGTGCAATAAATGAGATACACACTAACTGTACACAATAAAATCTACAACGCGCGCATACTGTGCGTGCGTAATATCTTCATTGTCCCTTTGTTTCATCGAACAGTAACCCATCAAACACTCTTATTTGGTATGAAGGAATCGAACAGTGATCCATCGAACACTCTCATTTGGTATGAAGAATACATACCCATAAAAACAACTTTAACATAAATGTCATGTATATGCGTACACCGCAACACACGGATACCATGCCAAATCATAAGACATACATGACTATATGTATGCAAGTATAACGATGACTCACCTCTTGCGCTGAATGGCATTTTTGAATCATCTGGATATCGGCACCGGCCACAAATCCACTGGGCTTGGCAGACATGATCACAGCCGCTCGCACACTGGAGTTAGACGACAGATCCGAATAAACACTCTGGAAATCAGCCATGAGCTGCTCGCCGAGTGTGTTGACCTGAATTGTGAAGCATTTAGGATGTGATACCATCAGTACGAGCACACTACTTGGTGTGCACGCTTATGGCTAGACAAGTGTGTGTGATATGTGAACGTGCTGCAGTATTTTTCGATCCATTCGGATGGGTACCTTGCGTTACTATGTTCTCATAAAGCAGTCTTTTTTTTGTACAGCAGGTGCAGTTCAAGACAGGGGGGAAAATTTCTCCGTTCTGCAATGTTGTTTAGTGTAGGTTTGTACACGCCTGCAGTCGATATGACAAGCATTACAGTATATACGCATACTATGAGTAGTCCTGTATTACTGTAAGTATCTGCCATCACAATAGAAAATACTGAACGATTCTTAAATGCATATGTCAATCTCCAAAACACTCACAAGCACTTACGGGCCCGGGACAGTCTAGCTTCACCACAGCGATGCCGTCCACCACCTTGACGGACATGGTCTTGTAGTCAGCGCTAGCTGCCGCCTTAGGTGCGGTCTCAGCAGCAGTGCTGGCCATTGTGCGACGACCTTTTGTTGTTTTGAAATTGAGACAAATGCAAGTTTTAGAAAGGATAAAGAGGACAAGGTATGTATCATACAAATAATCTTCTAGATAAAAAGATATGTACTATGCAAATGAGTTAGATGTCTGCTCATTTTGTACTGATATGTGCTATGTCTACCTGTCTGTCCCGGTATCTGGGTTGAAAGTCTGTGAACCATCCTATGTGGAAGCGACACATGTGACAAAGCAAATCGATTACTCTATCCAATCGACCCCAAAAGACGCTTACTAGACAACACCGTGTATGCGTTATATATATATATATATATATATATACACACACATATATATACATACATACACACACACACATATATATAGGCAGCTTTTATCGCACTAATTAATAAACAGACACTTTTCAATCCAACTAAAGCTAGGGCCACTTTTATCAACGCCATGTACGATTTGATGTAACTAGGTTAATAAGAATCACATCAACGCCCCACTGTGTCTGTGAGTCGTGTGTACTTGATTTGATTTTGGCGAACCGCAACAATTAAAGGATCTATTTGATCAGCTCACCTAGTATCAAGAACAGTATATACAGCAATACTTTGTCTACAGAACATTCTCCGAGTGTACGCTGTGCGAATTGCAACGACAACAAGTTATTTCCCACTTAACCATCCAAATATCATACGTGCATATGATGTGATTGGCGTATTGTAGCGTTCACATGGTACACCATAAGCCTAATAAAGCCCAATATATCGATAAATCTTCTCACAGTTACTACATGACTGCATCTACCACGTTCCCATTCATTGTATACACATGTATGTAAACATGCTTAGAGGTTTCTTACCTGCAAGGGCCACTGCCTGGGCTACCAAACGCGACCTAGAAAACATAGTCGATATATGCCACGCGATACACAAATTAGTGGGTATGTATGGTGTATGGTATATCTCGCCGCGTATTCCTCAATATAAATGTATGTAAATTTTTGGTCGAAAAGTATGTATACACAGTCACTCACACAGGGGGAAAGTCTTGCCATAGTCCAGGCACCAGACTCTACCAAAAATAAATAAATAATAATCACTATTCATTGAAAATTGAAAGTGAGAGATGTCACAGTCTGTCACATGATTTGACACTCCGAGGTGCAGGAAGTATAAAACGTAAAACAATTTGTACCCAAAACTAGTTTATGCCCCGTGGTAGAAGATCAGCTCAATACTGACGGGTTTATAAACGTATTTTTGCTTTATTATTATCCTAAATTTCCAAACAAAGTTGAAGGGTGATTTAAAACCTAAATTTCAGCAGCAGTATGTTTGAAATTTGATATAGGTAAATCATACGGCACTGACCTGGGTATACGGACATTTGAATAATATGAGACATAATCTGGGCATTTAAAACTGTATGTTTTTATTTCTTGTTGTTTTGAATTTTTTGAAGTTCCACAACGATAAAGTGAGCTTTGGTTGAGATAGTATAAGTGTGATCCTATTGGCCTATAGAGTTTAAGCGGGCTGTTAAAAAATTTCGAAAGAACTTTCAATTTTTAAGGGGGTATGAAACATGACAATAACGTGACATCTTTGTTGTCAAGGACTCAAGGCGACAAGGGGGCAGGCCGTCAAGTCGGGCAGGGTGATGGTAATTCATAAATTCAGCGTATACGTTTTCATTTTTTTTAAACGTTGTGACGTGAAAGCGGGATAGAAAAGGCCTGACCTACTATTCAAGACAATAGGAGTACATATAGGACTATCTGATAAAATAGTTCTTTGTACTGCACCTCAGAATCCAAACAGGACACCCACGTCAATTATACAGGACAAACACAAAAGTACAATCTGAGCGTATGTATGTGTTGTTATAAATATACTTTGCAACGTAAACGTGAAGATTAGGCCTGGGCAACTGGGGCAAGCTCTATAAAAAGAATTTATTTACCTCTCCCTCTCCCTCTCGCTCTTTCTCTCTCTCTTTCTTTCTACATACTAGCTATTTATTTAAAAAAAATTCATTACTAATAAATAGGATTCGACAATATAGTAAATGTGTCTCTCACTCACAGTGGAGCGGAGTGACGACTAAAATTTAAAACACAAGTATTAACAACTGACGAGTCCTGTGTGACACATCGCGGGCTGACACGCCTGACAGCAATGTAATAATATTTTTAATTTTGATACTTTTATAGATTAATAACTCAATCTCCGATTTGCTTTTGCATTCATAAGAGAGTAAGAAGCGACAATTCGACTGTCGTGTCGTGTGCTGAACCACCGTAGTAGAATTATATTGATATTTCTAACGTGTATTTAGCAGTTTTTTTGATAAGACTCGCTCACAACGTTTGTTACTAAGAGGTCTTTAGTTCGTTTGTACGTGCGAAGACAGCTATGCAGTCGATAACTGATATGGCAGGAGCCGTAAAATGGTTTGAATCACTGAGCTCGGCGCAGAAACGAGAAGCTTTGCTACAGTTTGCGCACTTGACCCCGACATACACATTGAGCAATCTACACGAAGAGATAGGCAAGTATGCGTATGATTGATTCACCTCCTGTGATACATCAAAATACACAGCGGGAAAATTTAGAGTTTAGATATAGATACAAGAGGCCAACTTTATATTATGTATCTATGAATCTTTGTATGTATGTATATACAAATTTGA